ACCTGAGCCGAAGGCAGATGCCCAACGACTGAACCACCCAGGCGCTGCTTAGGTGCTTAACATGTCTTACCAGTAACCCTGAACCCTCGCCACAGCACTAGGAGGTAGGTGATAGGATTTCTCCCCATTTTCCAGAGGAGAGAACTGAGGCACAGGCAGGCTCAGTGATGGATCCAAGGACATGCGGCTGGTGTTTTGCACTGCTAGTATTCAGACTCAGGTTGTCCTACCAGCCTTCATTTAGTGCCCTTTTCAGTTCAACGGACTCCCAGGCCTACCATGTGTCAGGCTCGGGTCTTGGTGCTGGGGGTACAGGAGCAAACAAATCCAACAAACGAAAACAAAACCAAAACCAAAACCAAAACCTGCCCTTGTGGAGGCTTGTGGTAATGGTACAGTTCTGTATTTTAGCGTGGTGGTAGTTCATGAAGTTACACATGGGATAGAACTATATAGACCCATCCATACACACACACAGACAAGGTGAAATCTGAGTAAGCTCTTTGGATTATTCCAGCATCAATTTCCTGGTTTTGACATTGTATGTTAGTGACACAAGACACTGACACTAGAGAAGGATGAGCGAAAGGTGCACGGGACTTCTCTGTAGATTTGGGGGAGTTCTTACGGATCCCCGATTATTTCAAAATAGAGGGTTAAAAAAAAATCTCTCCGCCCTCACTGAGCTTCATTCCAATGTGGAATTAGATGATACATAAGTGATATGACAGGATGGGAGGTGGTAAGTATTACCGAGAAAAGCAGGGAATGGGGCTACAGACTGTTGGGGGGATGGTCTCTCTTAAACGGAGACATCTGAGCCTTGACTTGTAGGAGGCGAGGAGACCAGCCACGGGCTACCTGGGGAAATGGGAGTCCTCGGCAGAGAGAACACCTAGTACTAAGGCTGTGAAGAGAACTGTGTCTGGTGTATGTAAGGAAGGGCAAGGAGGTCGGTGAGGCTTTAGCAAACTAAATGAGAGAGAGTAGCAGGAGGTTGGGTCAGAGGAGTAAGGTAGTCCAACCTCACTTATTTGCCACAGCAAATTCCTGTACTTTCTTTTATCAGGAGAGGGATAGGGAGCCACTGAAGAGTGTTGAGCAGAGGAGTGAGGTGATCTGCCTTAGGTCTTGAAAGGGTCACTCCGGCTGTTGTAGAGAAGCCGGAACAGAAGCAGAGAGACCAGTGAGGAGCCTTAAATCATCTAGGTGAGAGCAGGTGGCTTGGACCCGTGGAGAGGTGATGAGAAGTCCTCAGATTCTGGATAAAATTTCAAAGTCAAGCTGACCAGATTTGCTGACAAACCAGATGCGGGATGTGAGAGAGAAGAGTGGAAGATAAATTTTGGCTTAAGCCACAGGAAGAACGGAGGTGCCATCTGTTGTAATGGGGAGACTGAGTGACCCAGTTGGAGGTGGGGGGGAGATCAGGAGCTCTGTTGGGGGCATATTAAGTTTAAGGTATCTATTAGACATCCAAGTGGATGTTGGGAAGGCAGGAGGAGTTCAAGGAAGGTCCAGATATATGTTTGGGTATCATCAACCAAGAGTATTTAGAGCTGATACTGGATGAAATCGCCAAAGGAGGGAGTGTATATAGAAAAGAGAAGAAGTCCAAAACTAAACCTTGGGGCTCTCCAATGTTAAAAAGGAATTGAGATAAGGAAGAATAAGCAAAAGAAACTCAGAATGGGTAGCGTGCAAGGTAGAAGGAAAACCAGGTAGAACGAAGAGCGCCCTACAAAGCTGTAAGAATTAAAAAGATGATTTCCCCTCCCCGGTACCTGCTCCCAGTGGCCCTGAGGGTGCGCAGGCCAAAGAGTAGGAGGCAGGGGGAGCTGGTGTGCGGATCTAAGTATCCTAGAGGTGCACTCCTGGCAAGAACTGGGAGCAGGAGGAGGAGACGGCAAGCGTAGGCTCAGGACCAATGGCATCCAAAGAGTAACAAACAGTAAAAAAATCTCAACGTGGAAAATGCCAACCAAGAAAACAAAATAAAACAAAAGGACGAAAAGGAGCAAGTTGCCAATAAAGGAGAGCCCTTGGCCGTCCCTTTGGAAGCTAGGTGAATACTGTGTGCCTAGAGTCAGTGCTCGGCGGTTCCCTGTTAGGCAGCCCAGCCTGCAGTATGGGTGGGCCCTGATTCAGAGGCTTGGAGAGTCACAGGTAAGGATGAGAGAAGAGAATATAGAAAGGACTGGGGAGAATGGGAGACAGCTGAGGGAAAAGCTGAAGGGGGGGTGGGGAGCAATTCAGTCACAGACTGCGGGTGGGCGGTCAGCGCCGACCCTCCTTACCATGACCATCATGATGAGGTTCGCCTTATGTCTTGAATCTTGGTGTTCCCCGAAGTGAACAGAAAGACACACTTGCTTCCTAAACTTACATGTTCTCAATGCATCCTTGTTGTAATCCTTTTGTTACATGTCTCCTGTGGGTCTCCTATTACTTCTTCCTCTGCCCCTCCCCCCCACTTGCGCATGTTCTCTCTCTCAAATGAATAAAATCTTTAAAAAAAATAAAAAGGCAAAAAAAAAAAAAGATGATTTAAGGGCGCCTGAGTGGCTCAGACAGTTAAGTGTCTGCCTTCGGCTCAGGTCATGATCTCAGGGTCCTGGGATCGAGCCCCGCGTCGGGCTCCCTGCTCTGCAGGAAGCCTGCTTCTCCCTCTCCCTCTGCCTCTTCCCCAGCTTGTGCTCTCTCTCTCTCAAATAAATAAAGTCTTTTTTTTTTTTAAAAAGGATGATTTATATAAGCTCTTAGCAGTGTCAATCACACCCTAAACCTGAGGTAAATAGTAGCTATAATGATGATGATGATGATGATAGTAATTTAGCAACTAAAGGTTTATCTGCTGCTCTTTGGGCCACCAAAAAGAAAATACTGGCTCTCAAATAAACAGTAAAAATCTAGGTTAAGAAGCCTGAAGTCTCACTTCAGTTAAACGTAAAATTATCTGGATGATGAAAAAAATGTATCCGGATGACAGTCTGAATTTAAAAACTGGATGGGATTAAAGTAACTAAACTTTTGCTGTTAAAAAATGCTTATTAAATGGGCTCAAGCTTCCTATTGTTTGTGTATTTCCTCTCTAGACCTAAGGCACCAGCATCCAGTTGCTCAAGACAGAAACTTGGAGACCAAGTCCTGTTAATGTCACAATCATCTCTTGATTTTATTTCTTCTTATTCAACATCCTGGGGCCACCCAATGTGGGGCTTGAACTCACAACACCAAGATCAAGAGTCGCATGCTCTACCAATTGAGCCAGCCAGGCGCCCCATGGGCCATCATTTCTTGCCCAGACTCTTTCCAAAGTCTCCTACTAGTTTGTTTGTTCTACCATCTGTCACAATACGCCAATACAGGGATTCCTAACCATTTTTGTGCCATGGAATCCTTTGGCAGTCTAATGAAGTTTATCTTCAGAATGTTTTTAAATGCATAAAACAAAGTACATAGGATTACAAAGAAAACCAGTTACACTGCAATATAGTTATCAAAATATTTTCTAAAAGAAATGTGTGCTGTAGTAACATACGAGCTTCTTAACACAGTTCTCCTTAGGGGTCTAATAACTACAGTTGACCCTTGAACAGCACAGGGGTTAGGGGTGTCAACCTAGCACAGTGGGAAATCTGCATGTAACTTTTGACTCCCCCAAAACTTAATAGCCTACCGCTGACCAGAAGCCTGACGGATAACAAACAGTTGGTTAATACATATTCTATACAGTATACATATTATATACTGTATCCTTACGACTAAGTAAGCTAGAGAAAAGGTTATTAAGAAAATCATGAGGGGGCACCTGGGTGGCTCAGTCAGTTTCATTTCTGCTCAGGTCATGATCTCAGGTTCGTGAGATCAAGCCCTCTGATGGGCTCCGTGCTGGGCCTGGAGCCTGGTTAAGATTCTCTCTTTCCTTCTCTCTCTGCACATCTGCCCCCCCCCTCCTGCTCTCTCTCTCTCAAAAAAAAAAGCGGGGGGGGGGCGCCTGGGTGGCTCAGTCGGTCAAGCATCTGCCTTCTGCTCAGGTCATGATCCCATGGTCCTGGGATCGAGCCCCACGTCGGGCTCTCTGTTCAATGAGGAGCCTGCTTCTCCCTCTCCCTCTGCGGCTCCCCCTGCTTGTGCTCTGTCAAATAAATAAATAAAATCTTTTTTTTTTTTTTTTTTTTGAGAGAGAGAGAATGAGAGACAGAGAGCATGAGAGGGAGGAGGGTCAGAGGGAGAAGCAGACTCCCTGCCGAGCAGGGAGCCCGATGCGGGACTCGATCCCGGGACTCCAGGATCATGACCTGAGCCGAAGGCAGTCGCTTAACCAACTGAGCCACCCAGGCGCCCCAATAAATAAAATCTTAAAAAAAAAAAAAAAGAAAATCATAAGGAAAACACATTTATAGTCCTGTACTGTATTAATCGAAAAAAATCCACCTATAAGTGGACCCATGCAGTTCAAACCCATGTTGTTCCAGGGTCAACTGTACTGTAATTTCAAAGAAGTGATGAATGTATAAATGATATTTCAAGACGTCTGCATCAACTGCAGTGTGATATGAAACCATCTTTGATTTCTATTGGTGACAAAGTCATAGGGACTGTTAACGCCGCTACAGTTTGCTGCTTATGTTTGTAAAGAAAGAAAGAACTAAATTTCAGACAGTTTGATAAAAACGAAGTTGTGATCCCCCCCCCCCCATCCAAGTTCATGTATTCTGAGAGTTCTATACATGGACCATTTGGACCATTAAAAACCCTTACCTTAATCTACTGGTGCAAAAACTGCTTGAGGTGACTGCAAAGAGAGGTTTTTGTTTTTAAATGTGGAGAAGACCAACATGAAAACGGGTATCATTAACATCCAAAACGCATGCCATCAATTCCTATACATTTTTGCAAAGTGGGCTAAAAGCCTGGGATTCCTAGCAGCCAAGGAGAAGGTTGTCCCGAACTTTCTCAGCTTAGACCTCCATTAGCCACCTCTTGCCTAGGCTTACCGGACCCTCCTAGCGCAGCCCCCGCCGCCCTCTCCTGCTTCCTCCAGCATCACCATCCCTTCCCGTCCAGCACGGCCCAGCCAGGTCGAGACGACTTCTCGAGGTCGAGACAGGACCGAGACGGGCGCCGCCGGCCCAGCCCGGCGGAGGGTAGCCCTCGGGCCACTCCCTCCGGCGCCCAGGACCGAAGTCCCTTGCACTCGGACGTGACGTCTCCGCTGCCCGCCCTGGGAGTCAGCCCCGCCCGCTCGGCTCCCTCCGCCTTCGGGAAGGGTTAGCACTTGGGGCTCTACCGCGGGCCGTGTGCCTCAGCCACGAAGCACGGCGCGCGTAGCACACTGACCGGCTCCTGAGGGACGCACTTACGGAAGCGCGGCAAAGCGAAGTCCCGCTCGCCCGGACCGCCCGGTGTGCCCAGTTCCCACGGGAGCGCGGCGCGCGCGGGGGGCGGGGTGGGGGCCGCGGCCGGCGGCCTTGGGGCTCCGGCGTCATCTTCTAAGCTCCGCCCTCGGCTGCGTCGTCTAAATACGTCCTTCCGCCCTGTTCCTCCTTTCTCTTTTTCGCCGCCATCCTGCTCTGCGTGGCTGGCTGCTTCTCACCATGGTAAGTTCATCCGTTGCCATCGGCTCCGGGCTGGTTTCCCGAGGCCTGAGGCCCCTGCGAGCTCGCTGGCGCCGCACACTGCGTCGAGGTGCGGGGGCCTTCTAGAAGCCTTTTTCCAGGGAAGGTCGAGTTCGGCCACCGCTCCAGTCCGCGGGCCTAGCGGGAAGCTAGCAGGCGTTCGAGGAGGGGCCGGCTGCCCTGGCCATGCGAGGTCGGAGGGGTGGTGCTTTGTGCGCGGCCCAGGCTAGCAGGGGTTCCCACTGCCCTTCGCCCTTCTGGAGCGAACTGTGATCCTGGGGCAGGGAGAGAAGTCGGGGTGGCGGGGTGTCCACTACAGAAATCGTGGCCGCCACGCGCGCCGGGCATCGAAAAGCGAATGGGGTCTGCTGGTTTTCGGAAGATTTTTTTAAGTTGGCGGCCAGGATCATACGTTATGAACTTACAGGACTTGTTAGTCCTTTGTTAGGGACTTGCGCATCTCCCCGTGGAAGCACCTGGAAGGAGAGGTGCTGCGGTGTGGATCAATATGCCATTCGGGCGTTCTTCGTAAAATGCAAGCTGCGGACAGTTATGGTCGTGGGTTTTACCTGTGATCGTTTTCTGAGAAATTAAAATTGCTATATGCTTCTAGGTGTGGAGAGGATCGGTATCTGGTTTTTTTAGTTGGCAGGAAATTTACAGCTGCTACAGTGAGCTGGGAGAGAGGAGTGTAGTCTTCGCCTTCTTTGTAATAGGCCCCTATTATGCAAGGTGCAAGGGTGTGTCGGACCACGTTGGCCAGACTTGAGACTACCTGCCATTTCTGGATTGTCCCGCAAACTTGAGCGGGAGTGGTTGGGGTTGGACTTAGATGACCCAAGTTCTTAAAACCAAAAAATGAAATGAGAAATTGGGAAAGTCGTCCTTGAAAAGGATATTTTAAGTACAGGAGAGTTCATACCAAAATGGTAAGTGATGGGGGCGCCTGGGTGGCTCAGTTGTTTAAGCCGCCCACTCTTGATTTCGGCTCGGGTCATGATCTCAGGGTCCTGGGATCCAGACCTGCATCTGGCCCCGCCCTCAGCGAGGAATCGGCTCGGCTGGGGAACTGACTCCTGCCCTTCCCCCTCGCTCTGGCTCACGCGCGCTCCGCATCGTTAGCCACCCCTATTTTACATAATGCACAGAAACTCATTGACTTGCAAGTGCTGGATTGTTCTGGTTGACAAAAAGCTGTGTTCTTTTGTGAAAACCAAATTCCCCAGCCATCCCCAGTGGTCCGCTGGGTCCTGGGGTGACAGCAGGGAAGATGGGAAGGTACCCTAGCTTTGGAAGCATAGATGACCTGGGTTTGAATCCCAGCTCTGCGCATTAGTAGTAGGTTACTTACTTTCATTGCTGATTTTTATTCGAATAATGGGGATTATGGTATCTGCCTCCAGAAGTTGTGAGGAACAGCAAAGGGCATGGTGGGTTTAGCATTGAGAAGGTTGTTTTTGGTATAGATGAAGCATTCAAATGTTTGTGGATTGAGGGCGTTCCTGACTTTGGATCAGTGGAGCAAGCTCTGGTGTTGCTGTCTAAATTGATTACGTTTCCTTCCCAGTCTTCTCACAAGACTTTCAGAATCAAGCGATTCCTGGCCAAGAAACAAAAGCAGAATCGTCCCATTCCCCAGTGGATTCGGATGAAAACTGGTAATAAGATCAGGTAAGGACCCCCCCACAACTACCTGCTTGTTTTTTGTGGTTGCTATTTTATTTTGTTTTTAATTAATTATTTTTGGGTGGGCAGCAAAGCAAGGTTTATTGGGCGATAGCGAAGTGATAGTACAAAACTCCCGAGGAGGGAGGGGACCCGAGAGGGTTGCCCTGTGGTGGTTCTTTTAACGCGCTTCCTCAGTGTTTCTGGACAGCAACCCAGCCCATGGCTGGGATTAGAGGCAGACATTCCATATTTGTTAATTTCCTGTTGTCTTCAGTCTGTGCCAGAACATAAGGTGGGAAGGCTGTCTTCATTACTCATCGCAGTGCGGAAGGCCATGTTGCGCACCCAGTCCATCTTGAGGTGTTTATCTTTTCTAAAGATCGGGAGATTGCTCTCTACTGCAGAAGTAGTTGAATTGATGGTTTTGGAAAAAAGACAGGGCTCAGATGGCTGCAGAGGGCCTCCAGGGTCACCTAAGCGAACAGGCAGAGTTAAACCTAAAACTCAGGTCTCCTGCATGCCTTTCAGTCTCACTGTTCTATGGGGGACCAGCTGGACCTTGAGACAGGTCTCAAAAGGAAGAAAAATAAGCCTCAAAAGGGCTCACAACCAGCGACAAGCCCCTGTGGGTTAAACAGCTTCCAGAACTTGGGTTTGTTTAAAATGAAGTATTAGATTCTCTGGCTTTCCTGAATAAGGGAGCCCAACAAAAGACCACAAAGGAGGAGGAAGCAAATACTATGACCAAAATTTTTATTTGAGAAGCCTCTTGAACCTGAGACTCTAGAGCAGGCCTAGCCTTGGGTCCCTTTTGCAAGATAGAGACTTTGAAGTCATGATACCAGTATAGAACTCTGATTTGACTGAATCACAGAAGACCAAGATGTGAATTGGGGGGCCTGTTTCCTTAATTCTTTTAGCCAGTTACAAAGGTGAAAATCACCACACTCTGTCGCCTTATAGGCCAGGTAGTTGCTGCCTTTAGTTTATCCTGTACTGAACACTGGCCTTTGTTATTTATATTAATATGTATAGGAGGTGTCTCACTGTGAGAAGTGCAACAAGATCTTAAAACCCCTGGTGTTGGCCTCGTAACAATACTGAGAAAAAGAGCATTGAGTCACTTGGCGAAATGGTTACTTTGGAGTCCAGCCCTTGTACGAGCTTGATGAGTTTCTCTTGAGAACCTCAGACATCCATAGTAATGCCCCTTTTTAATGTGTTGACATGAACATAGGCTTCGGTGTCATATCCCCATCTGGTGGTGGGACTTGCGGTTCCCGGGTTATTGTGCAGAATGAAAGTGTATACACTCAGCCCGGAGATCGGGCAACAATTGATTTTTCTGTTACCTCAGCGGTCTTGCAACTTTTTGAAGTGTGTTGAAAGCAGGTTGCAATTACGGTGTTTCCTTTTGTGGAAGTACTGACATTATCCTGCTGAAAGAAAATCTGTCAGTCATGTTTGATTTTGCCTTAATGAGGGTAAAGTCGTGACTGATTGACATGGACACTTCTGAGGTGGCCTTAGCTCTGCAAAGCTCTTGCTTTGCTTTTGAAATGATTGGGTGTGTTAACCTCTTGTAAAAATTAGTGTGGGGGCTTTTATATGTGTGTGACCCATGATGTAGAAATGTTGCTTCTGATGAAGTTTGGAAGGGGGGGTTCAATAGAAATGTGTCTGGGTCTACCCCCCAGGTGTGTTGAATCAAAAGTAGGTGGGTGTACCCTTGGGAGGGGAGGGAGCTTCCCCACTCGTCTAGTCTCGAGTAAGAACCAGTGTGTTTTCCTAGCCTGGAGTCATTCTCAGGTAAAAATTTGATTTGACGAGTTCTTAGACACATCTAGCAAATCACTTTCTACTCTCCAAAGAGAGCTCCAAACCCGTTAAAGGAAGGAAAAATGGGACCCTTTGCCTTCCAAGGATTTTACGGTACTGACAAGGCAGCGTTTGTGGTAAATGAGGGCAGCGAAACTGCAGTCAGACGGCCTTGGTAAGCTGCGGTTTGTTTCTGTGCAGGTACAACTCGAAGAGGAGGCACTGGAGGAGAACCAAGCTGGGTCTGTAAGGCGTCACCCATCATGAGATGACACACTTAATTGGCACACATATTTAATTAAGCTGCGTGAAGATCATGTGTTCTGTCATTCTGTAAACATCCTTCCTACCTGGCGGTAGACTTGTCTTATCATGGAAATGATTTTCTCTGTGACTACACCTCCACACCAGTAGGTTGGTTCGGTAATAAATGGGAGACCTTTCACCTCCACTGCTGTTGTGTTTCTGATTTGCGAAGGACTGAATCCCCCACCTGTCAAATCATGCATAGCACTGTCAGAACTCTCTGCAGTGATGGAAGTGGCCCTTGACAACTAGTATGTAAAGTGTGGCTAGGGGGAGCCCAGATGGCTCAGTGCCTTGGGCCCAGGTCATGATCTCAGTCCTGGGATTGGGCTCCCCACTGAGCATGGTATCTGCTTGCCCCTCCCCTGGCTTGTGTTCTCTCTCCTCAAATAAATAAAAGCTTTAAAAAAAAAAAAAAGTGTGCCTAGTTTGAGTAAAGAACTGACTTGAATTTTTATTTAATTTTAATTAAGAAGCTCCATGTGGCTAATGGCTCTTAACACCTTACGGGTAGTGAGTATGTGTGTCGTCCTCATACCTCTGGGTAGCACATTCTTCAATAGCATCTTTTTCTGCTATTCTATGATGCCAGTCTTTTTTCACAAGTCTATATTTGTAAAAAATAATCTACAACTAAAGCTAAATTGAATTTTTAAAATCAAAAGTTCATTTAGTGATAATGTACAGTTTATAGTAAAATTGTAAAATACTTTGATAGATTAAACAAAGTATCATTCATGTAAAAACATGGCATGTAAAATTAGAAAGTTTATAGTTCACAAAATTACATTTTTTTGCTGGTAGCTCATGAGAACGTTACAGTAAGTTTACTCAGGATACAGAACAAAATTCACAGGCTTGACATTAGTACTATAAAATTTTACACTGAATCCATTGACATTTCTGTTAAGGTACACTTGAAATAATTGATTCAGACTACCAATGAACTGACATTGTATACCAAGATCTATTGGTTTTACAATATGGCTAGTAATCAGTTATTTCACCAACAATTTAAATGAGAGATCTAGTTTTAACACCACCGACATATACCCTTAGGATAACTAAAATAAAAAGCATTAGCAGCTTTGATTTTCATTTTCATGAATACATACAAATCTGTACTTTAGAGTTAAAATTTGTACGAAAAGTCAAGCCCTGAAGTATTTTACCCCCAAGAGAAAAGTTCAGATGTTAAAACATTGTTAAACAAAAAGTAGGGCGCCTGGGTGGCTCAGTCGGTTAAGCGACTGCCTTCGGCTCAGGTCATGATCCCAGGGTCCTGGGGTTGAGTCCCACATCAGGCTCCCTGCTCTGCGGGGAGCCTGCTTCTCCCTCTTCCACTCGCCCTGCTTGTGTTCCCTCATCTCGCTGTGTCTCTCTCTGTCAAATAAATAAAATCTTAAAAAAAAACCCACAAAAAGTAGTATGTGAAAGGATTTTTACTTACTGTTGAACCCCTGCACCACTTAAAATGAAATTTAAACTACATGTTAACATTTTGCCATTCTAGAGTCAAATTTCTATACCTCGTGAGGTTAAAGCTGGAATGCCATTAATGAATAGCGGTATAGAAGTGGAAGAACTTGGGTGAATTCAACAAAAAAGAACATTGCATTACATAATGTGCAGTTAATAGTTCAGTGATAATCTGTTTGGTGGTAACGTGAACAAAGTATTCTAAGTGACCTTCCTTCAGTCCCAAGACTTCCTCATATATCTTTACCATAGAGAGAAAATAGCACTTAATTGTTTCCATAGCATGCAACTGTACAAAGGTACCCATTCTAGCCCTACCATGAAATTAATAACAGAAGTAGCCATAAGCCACAGGGAACTTGGGCCTACTGCAGTGCTCATGCATGTTGTACAGGGAAATCAGGCAAGGAAGAGAAGTCAGCAGCCTTACCCTTAATTCTAAGTGGGTGCGTTGGAAAGTAATAAATAGCCTCATAAAATAAATAGCAATAAACTACCTGTCCAAGGTGAATATATTTTTTTCATAAAGTGTAGGCAGTGTTCCTAGAAATCCCATTAGGGAAAAACCAAATGCTCCTATAAAAAAGTGCCCAAGTTTGTCCTGTGTAAAAATCTCTTTGGGGGGGGCGCCTGGGTGGCTCAGTTGGTTGGGCGACTGCTTTCGGTTCAGGTCATGATCTTGGAGTCCTGGGATCAAGCCCCGCATCGGGCTCCCTGCTCAGCGGGGAGTCTGCTTCTCCCTCTTACCCTCCTCCCTCTCATGCTCTCTGTTTCTCATTCTCTCTCTGAATAAATAAAATCTTAAAAAAAAAATCTCTTTGGGTGCATTTTATAATCCAAAATGATTCATACTACTCAAATACATTAGAGTATAAAAACACACCAACAAAACACCAACAACAAAAGGAATGATTTCCAATGAGATGGGAATGAGGGTGAGAGGAGATTAAGGAAGTCTCACGTATTACCTTGATGGAACTGCCTTTTGTGTCATTAAGTTATACGCATATGGAATGAGTCTGTAAATGTGATACAGGAAGAACAAGCTTTGAACTTGAACAACTGTTACAGGTTTTAATTCAGGAACATGGCTTCAATGCTTTATGACGTAGGAAGCAACTCCCCAAAACAGGCAATTGGTTTGATTTCTTAGATATTAGGAAAAAAAAGCGCATTTAAAAAAATTACTTGTGGGACACCTGGATGGCTTGGTTAAGTGTCTGCCTTCGGCTCAGTTCGTGATCCCGGGGTCCTGGGATCGAATCCCACGTCAGGCTCCTTAGGGAGTCTGCTTCTCCCTCTGCCTGCTGCTCCCCCTGCTTGTGTGCTCTCTCTCTCTGACAAATAAAATATCACTTGTAACAATTAGCAACAGAGGAACAACATTAAAAAATCAAAATAAAATACAGGGAACATAGGAGCTGAGGTCCCCAAGGTACCAAAGGACTGAATCAGACTTTTTCACATTAGAATTTTTAAAAAATGCCGTTGAAGGAAAAGCTGACTGGGCTCCGCACCGCAGGTTAAATATGCAACAACTTCGAACGGAAGTGATCTGGTCCTCTCATGGTTCTGAGAATGTGTGCTAACATCCAGTGCCCTAGAGACAAAATAGCAAAAGCACAGGATGCCTGGGTGGCTCAGTTGTTAAGCATCTGCCTTCGGCTCAGGTCATGATCTCAGGGTCCTGGGATCGAGCCCCGCATCGGGCTCCCTGCTCAGCGGGAAGCCTGCTTCTCCCTCTCCCGCTCCCCCTGCTTGTGTGTGTCTCTCTCTCGCTGTGTCTCTGTCAAATAAATAAATAAAAATCTTAAAAAAAAAAACAAACAGACTCTTCCCTGAAACTTCTATGCCGTTAACTTCTAAAACTTCATCATTACAGCTAATAGTCCTGTGCTTTGAGCCAGATTTGGTCTGGATATAAAGATCCCTGGGACCTTCTCTAGGCCATGCGGTGTGACCCTGACACAAGCCATCCCGGATGTAGAACCCTAAGGGTTTCTCAGTGCCGTATTTGTAAAGACGAGCCCTACGATGTGTTTCTGGGAGAATATCCACATCTATAATAGAAGGCACAGGTCTGAAGTCTTGGGGCATACTAATGACTATGCGTGGCTTTTTTCTATGGTTGTCAGGACGCAATAGATTGGTTAAAAACATTCTTCTTTATTAATGTGTACCAAAGGCACTGTAGTCTGCTTCTCCCTTTTTTTGTATAAAAATCCTAAGCAGTGGATTGGCCATTGAAACAGCTTTGTGATAATTATCATCATTATTTATAGGTAGTAAGTCTCCATGGATGTCTGTGTAGCCTACTAAAACGCCAACATTGGGTATCTTCTGAACATGTCGCAGTAATCCATAAAACCCCAATTTTCCAGGTTTTGATCTGTCCAGTGAAAACCGACAAAATTCAGCTCCAGACTTGCTCTTCCCCTGCATGGTGCCCAGGCAGCTGCTGGCTGGCCCGAGCCGGTGGCTGTGGTTCATGCTGAGGCCCGGCCGCCCCTCGGGAGCGCAGGGAGCAGGGAGCGAGTGCGCGGCCCGCAGGCTGGGGACGCGGCACCTGCCGAGGGGCGGCCTCGGCTCGGGTCACCGCGCAGAGCCGGGCGCGGCGGGACCGAGGGTCAGACTAATGCCCGTCTTCAGTACAAGTAGGAATCCTCTGATCCAGGGGTTATCAAACTGGTCTGCCTGGGCTTATAGAGCCTGTGAACTAAATGTCTGCATCTTTAAATTGTTGAGAGAAATCGAAAGACCATTTTGGCATTTACTAAATTTAGATTTACTGGGCATTTATGTGTCAGGCACCGTTCCAGGTACTTGGGATTAGTTGGTGGATAGACACCTGTATGTTAGGCTAGTGACAGGCCACTGTGGAAGCCGGAGCAAATGTCTGGAAAAGGTGGGAA